GGTGTCTTTAGTGGTAACCTTCTTTTGCGTCTCGAGGTCAAATATGTCGTCTAATAGGACGAATATCTTTTATATCGAATATCATCCTTCTATTGTCCTCTTTTATAGATTTGTTTACATCATACTTTTGTATACTTTGATACAAGAGAGAACTTGCTGATGGGAGAAGCAAGAAGCAAGTAGAATGTTCTAGATGGATGGAAGAGATATTACAAGATCATAACAGCTGTGATTCCTAGACATGAGAAAACGAGGCGAGAGATACTTAAGCAACCGATAACTCAGGAGGTGGAGCTTAGGAGCTAGAGGTCAACCCAACAAGCACGTTAAGGCATCTTTAAAATTAGTTAATTACATCCAAGTTCACAGCTGACGACCCCGGGGTGTTCTGAAGAGTTAAACTAAGTGTTGGGGTGATGGGAGGGGGGGGGGTGATGGGAGGGGGGGGATGGGAGGGGGGGTGATGGGAGGGGGGGTGATGGGAGGGGGGGATGGGAGGGGGGGGGGTGATGGGAGGGGGGGATGGGAGGGGGGGTGATGGGAGGGGGGGGTGATGGGAGGGGGGGGGGTGATGGGAGGGGGGGGGGGGGTGATGGGAGGGGGGGGGTGATGGGAGGGAGGGGGGGGGTGATGGTTACAGATCAACTCATCTAGTCGTTCAGATCAAAAGAGGATGGTTATAGATGATGGGGGGGGCTGGGGGGGGTTTAGGGGGACTATTCCAGCTGGTGGGGGGGATCAGCTTCCACCCATGTCACCACGTTCTGTTAGTATTCCGTGCGAACATTTCGAACATTTCGTTTATTTCCACTCTGTCAATCCCCCTAAGTATTTTATGTGTTCTTATCATATCCCTTCTCTCTCCCTTCTTTTTTCTAGTGTCGTAAGGCAAGGTTCCTTCAGGCGCTCTTCATATCCCATCCCTCGTTACGCTGGGACAAGTCTTGTTGCAAACTTCTGAACCTTTTCCAGTTTCCTTATGTGTTTCTTCAGGTGGGGACTCCATGACGAGGCGGCATACTCTAAGACTGGTCTCACGTAGGCAGTGTAAAGCGCCCTAAATGCCTCCTTACTTAGGTTTCTGAATGATGTTCTAACTTTTGCCAGTGTAGAGTACGCTGCTGTCGTTATCCTATTTATGTGTGCCTCAGGAGATAGATTAGGTGTTACGTCCACACCCAGGTCTCTTTCTCGCGTCATCACAGGTAGGCAGGCAGTTCCCCTTCATTGTGTACTGTCCCTTTGGTCTCCTGTCACCTGATTCCATTTCCATAACTTTACATTTACTTGTGTTGAACTCCAGTAGCCTTTTCTCTGTCCATCTCTGTAACCTGTTCAAGTCCTCTTGGAGGATCCTACAATCCTCATCTGTCACAATTCTTTTCATGAACTTTGCGTCATCCGCGAACATCGACATGTAGGATTCTACTCCTGTAAACATGTCGTTAACGTATATTAGAAATAGAATTGGTCCCAGCACCGATCCTTGAGGTACTCCACTCGTTACTGTTCGCCAGTCCGACTTCTCGCCCCTTACCATTACCCCTCTGGCTCCTTCCTGTTAGGTAGTTCTTCACCCATGCATGGGCCTTTCCGCTTACTCCTGCCTGCCTCTCAAGTTTGAGTAGCAGTCTCATGTGCGGTACTGTATCAAAGGCTTTTTGGCAGTCCAGAAATATGCAGCCTGCCCATCCTTCTCTGTCCTGCATTATCCTTGTTACTTTGTCATAGAATTCTAAAAGGTTTGTTAGGCATGATTTCCCCTGTCCAGAACCCATGTTGGTGCTTGTTTACAAACCCAATGCTCTCCAGGTGCTCAACAAGTCTTAGCCTAATTATTCTTTCAAGTATTTTGCAGGGGATGCTTGTCAGTGATACAGGTCTGTAGTTAAGTGCCTCCTCCCTATCTCATTTCTTGAAAATCGGTACGACATTTGCCTTCTTCCAGTAACTGGGCAATTCTCCCGACATAAGTGACTCATTAAAGATCATTGCCAGAGGCACGCTGAGGGCCTGCGCTGCCTCTTTTAGTATCCACGGTGATACTTTGTCTGGTCCAACCGCTTTAGTTGCATCTAGTGTTGTCAACTGTTTCATTGCCTCCTCTGCTGTCACCTCTATATCCGATAGTCTTTCATCTAGGGTAACCCCTTCCAACAATGGGAGCTGCTCAGGCTCGGTAGTGAACACTCCATGGAAACTGGCATTCAGTGCCTCACAGATTTCCTTGTCACTTTCAGTATATGCCCCCTCTGTCTTCCTTAGTCTTGTCACTTGGTCGTTCACCGACATTTTCCTTCTTATATGACTGTAGTAACTTAGGTTGCTTTTTCGCTTTGATCGCAATATCGTTCTCATAGTTCCTTTCCCTTGTTCGTCTTATGTTAATGTAATCGTTCCTAGCTCTGTTGTATCTGATCCTGTTGTCTTCTGTCCTTTGTCTTCTGTACTTCCTCCACTCCCTCCTGCTTCTCACCTTTGCTTCCTGACACTGTCTATTAAACCATGGGTTATTATATTCCCTCCTGGTTTTTTTCTTTACTGTTGGTATAAATCTCTCTTCGGCCTCCTGGCATTTCCGTATGACTATGTCCATCATATCTTGGACTGTTTTTCCTCTAAGTTCTTCCTCCCACCGCACTTCTCCCAGGTAGTCCCTTATCCTTCTGTAGTCCCCTTTTCTGTAATCAACTCTCCTTTCCCGGACCTCTTGTCCTTTGGTCACAATTTTAAGCTCCATCATGTTGTCAAAGACTTGGACACAATGGTCACTGGCTCCTAGTGGTATTTCATGTTCCAACTGCTCGATGTCTTCTACATTCTGGGTGAAAATCAGGTCTAATAGGCTCGGCGTGTCCCCCTCCTCTTTCCCTTGTGTCTTCCTTCACATGTTGTGTCAGGAAATTCCTGTCTATAACATCTACTAATTTTGCTCCCCACGTTTCGTCCCCTCCATGGGGGATTCCTTGATTCCCAATTTATCTCTCCATGATTTAGGTCCCCCATGATCAGCAGCTTCGCTCTCATTCTGTGGGCTAGTGTTGCTGCCTTCTGCAGTTCATCTATACATGCCTTGTTGTTGTCATCATACTCCTACACACACACACACACACACACACACACACACACACACACACACACACACACACACACACACACACACACACACACACACACACACACAGGAAGCAGTCCGTAACAACTGTCTAACTCCAGGTACTTATTTTACTGCTAGGTGAACAGGGGCATCATGAGGGAAAGAAACTCTGCTGCAAGACTACGAAAACCGAGCGCTGTCCGCTCAGCTGCCAGGCTCCCTAATGTGTGTGGGGGGGGGGGGCCTTGTGATGCAACAGCCTAATTTAGTAAAGAGTAGTGACGGTCGGGGACGGCTGGTCTCAGGCTTGTTGAGTTGTTAGTGTGTGTGTGTGTGTGTGTGTGTGTGTGTGTGTGTGTGTGTGTGTGTGTGTGTGTGTGTGTGTGTGTGTGTGTGTGTGTGTGTGTGTGTGTGTGTGTGTGTGTGTGTGTGTGTGTGTGTGTGTGTGTGTGTGTGTGTGTGTGTGTGTGTGTGTGTGTGTGTGTGTGTGTGTGTGTGTGTGTGTGTGTGTGTGTGTGTGTGTGTGTGTGTGTGTGTGTGAGATGACTCTTGAGATTATATCTTATATCATAATATTTTTCTCAGCCTTTCCTCTCTCTCTCTCTCTCTCTCTCTCTCTCTCTCTCTCTCTCTCTCTCGTATGGACCAATAGGAGCTGCCTCGTATGGACCAATAGCAGCAGCCTCGTATGGACCAATAGGAGCTGCCTCGTATGGACCAATAGGAGCTGCCTCGTATGGACCAATAGCAGCTGCCTCGTATGGACCAATAGCAGCTGCCTCGTATGGACCAATAGGAGCTGCCTCGTATGGACCAATAGGAGCTGCCTCGTATGGACCAATAGCAGCTGCCTCGTATGGACCAATAGCAGCTGCCTCGTATGGACCAATAGGAGCTGCCTCGTATGGACCAATAGCAGCTGCCTCGTATGGACCAATAGGAGCTGCCTCGTATGGGCCAATAGGAACTGCCTCGTATGGACCAATAGGAGCTGCCTCGTATGGACCAATAGCAGCTGCCTCGTATGGACCAATAGGAGCTGCCTCGTATGGGCCAATAGGAACTGCCTCGTATGGACCAATAGGAGCTGCCTCGTATGGACCAATAGGAGCTGCCTCGTATGGACCAATAGGAGCTGCCTCGTATGGACCAATAGGAGCTGCCTCGTATGGACCAATAGGAGCTGCCTCGTGTGGACCAATAGCAGCTGCCTCGTATGGACCAATAGCAGCTGCCTCGTATGGACCAATAGCAGCTGCCTCGTATGGACCAATAGGAGCTGCCTCGTGTGGACCAATAGCAGCTGCCTCGTATGGACCAATAGCAGCTGCCTCGTATGGACCAATAGCAGCTGCCTCGTATGGACCAATAGTTACTGTCAACGAGTAACTGGAAAACGAGTGATCTGGACAAGGGAGCGCCTGAAGGACTGAAGGCAGAGAGTCACAGTGAGAGAGGAGGTTCAAGCTGGAGAACTGTAACAAGTGGGAGTCCCACAGGGCTCAGTCTTGGGACCACTGGTGTTCTTACATAATGTGACCCACCTGCCCGAGGAGTGAGCTTCTTACCCTCCATGTTTACACATGACGCAAAGTTGATGAGCACTGTAAAAACAGAGGAGGACTGCAGCAAGTTACAGGAGACCCTTGACACACTCCAGCAGTGGTCAAACAGATGGTTGTTGGAGTTCAACCCCAGCAAGTGTAAGGTGGGGACCATCAGCAGCATATGAGACGCTGGCATATATCTCCAACACTCACACCAGAGACACACACAAACACGGTAACATCAGCAGCATATGAGACGCTGGCATATATAAAAACATTGTTTAGAAACCTGAATCAGGACTCCTTCAAGGCAACTGGAACTAAATCTCACAAACTTGGAGTTCGAGAATAAGCAAATGGAACTAAATCTCACAAACCTGGAGTACCAGAATAACCAAATGGAACTAAATCTCACAAACCTGGAGTACGAGAATAAGCAAACGGAACTAAATCTCACAAACCTGGAGTACGAGATTAAGCAACTAGAACTAAATCTCACAAACCTGGAGTACGAGTATAAGCAACTGGAACTAAATCTCACAAACCTGGAGAACGAGTATAAGCAACTGGAACTAAATCTCACAAACCTGGAGTTCAAGACTAAACAAATGGAACTAAATCTCACAAACCTGGAGTACGAGAATAAGCAAATGGAACTAAATCTCACAAACCTGGAGTACGAGAATAAGCAAATGGAACTAAATCTCACAAACCTGGAGTACGAGATTAAACAAACGGAACTAAATCTCACAAACCTGGAGTACGAGAATAAGCAACTGGAACTAAATCTCACAAACCTGGAGTACGAGACTAAACAAATGGAACTAAATCTCACAAACCTGGAGTACGAGAATAAGCAAACGGAACTAAATCTCACAAACCTGGAGTACGAGATTAAACAAACGGAACTAAATCTCACAAACCTGGAGTACGAGAATAAGCAAACGGAACTAAATCTCGCAAACCTGGAGTACGAGAATAAGCAAATGGAACTAAATCTCACAAACCTGGAGTACGAGATTAAACAAACGGAACTAAATCTCACAAACCTGGAGATAGACGGCACCAAAGAAGTTGAGAAAGCCACCTCCATCTACCACGGGCAGGTCCTTGGTGGGCTCAACATCAGCATCCATCTTGCAACCTCCGGCCCACATCTCGCTAGACATCCCCACCAAGTTTCTCTACACCTTGCAGCGAACATCCACTCTTGCTTGTTGCAGGTCGTCAGGTCCTGTGTGTTGCACAGGTCACAGTGCCCATGTGGCACCCTGACCGGATGACTGACTGAGCAACAGCACACAACAGGCTCTCTCCCTCCCTCCTTCCCCCCTCCTCCTCCCCCCCTCACCTCCCCCCCCCCCCGTATGGAGTGCAGAGTCTGCGCTGAGCAGACTAAGCACCACTGAGGGTCTGCGTACCATGAGTCACAGCTAGTTTGAGTGCAAGATGCACAAGGAGGCGTCTTCATGCTTGCAATATTGCAAGATTTACACTGTGTGTGTTCAGGTGCTGTCTCTCTGTATATATATATATATATATATATATATATATATATATATATATATATATATATATATATATATATATATATATATATATATATATATGTGTGTGTGTGTGTGTGTGTGTGTGTGTGTGTGTGTGTGTGTTCTCACCTATTTGTGCTTGCGGGGGTTGAGCTTTGGCTCTTTGTTCCCGCCTCTCAACTGTGTATGTGTGTGTGTGTGTGTGTGTGTGTGTGATATTTTCCCCAGGCCTATGACGTCACTTCAATAGGCTAGTTACTCTCACATTCCTTCACAAATTGGTTCGTGGCCTATTTATAACTTCTCATTGCCAATTTACATACTTCACAATAGGTGAGAGCCACCTCGAATCAATATGCAAATGACACTATTTCTCATTCTAATCTGCGCATCGATCTGCGCAGGTCGTGTGGGTGTCCCGCTGGGCCCTTGTGGGTTACGCCTCTATCGCTGTTTCCAATTACTAAGATCTCTCGGTACTTCGTAAGAAACACGAACGGTTTAGCCCGCTCTCTCGTCTGATGCGTAGGGTTTTGTAAGGGGAATTCGCCAGTACGTTAAAAATGAGATGGTTTAGCGATCGTTAACGGGGAGTAATGTTGGGGTTGTTTGTGGACTGGCTTGGATGGTGGAGCTCTGTCTCTGTCTCTGTCTCTCTCTCTGTCTCTCTTCTCTGTCTCTCTTCTCTCTCTCTCTCTCTCTCTCTCTCTCTCTCTCTCTCTCTCTCTCTCTCTCTCTCTCTCTCTCTCTCTCTCTCTCTCTCTCTCTTTCTTTCTCTCTCTCTCTCTCTCTCTCTCTCTCTCTCTCTCTCTCTCTCTCTCTCTCTCTCTGCAAATCATTTCACATCTAGCTGAATATATCTAGGTGAGTACATCTAGGTGAGTACATCTAGGTGAGTGCATCTACGCGAGTACATCTACGTGAGTACATCTAGATGAGTACATCTAGATGAATACATCTAGATGAGTAATAAGAATCTACGTACTGTGTAGAGAGTGAGTAATTATGAGGGATGAGTGTTGGGATGAGGCAGAGAGAAGGGAGCCCACTGGAGAATGAGTAAGTGTTGGAGATCTGTGAATAAACATGAGGGAGTATTGAGATGGAGTGAAGATAGTGAAGATAGTGAAGATGGAGGTGGCTTCTACACCTTCTTCTTCTAAGGAGTGCTTCCTTACACTCCTTCGACACTAGAGAGGTAGTATAGCTTTCAGGTAAATTCAGGTAAAGCCTCATTTTCTATTTTCAGTTTCCTCCTGATGTCTCGAGGGCTAAGGAAGTGAGTGAGTGAGTGTATGGGGCAGCGTCACTCATCTTGTGAGTGGACACACCACCATAGTGACAGTATTGGGCAGCGTCACTCATCCTGTGAGTGGACACACCGCCATAGTGACAGTATTGGGCAGCGCCACTCATCCTGTGAGTGGACACACCGCCATAGTGACAGTATTGGGCAGCGTCACTCATCCTGTGAGTGGACACACCGCCATAGTGACAGTATTGGGCAGCGCCACTCATCCTGTGAGTGGACACACCGCCATAGTGACAGTATTGGGCAGCGTCACTCATCCTGTGAGTGGACACACCACCATAGTGACAGTATTGGGCAGCGCCACTCATCCTGTGAGTGGACACACCGCCATAGTGACAGTATTGGGCAGCGTCACTCTTCCTGTGAGTGGACACACCGCCATAGTGACAGTATTGGGCAGCGTCACTCATCCTGTGAGTGGACACACCACCATAGTGACAGTATTGGGCAGCGCCACTCATCCTTGAGTGGACACACCGCCATAGTGACAGTATTGGGCAGCGCCACTCATCCTGTGAGTGGACACACCGCCATAGTGACAGTATTGGGCAGCGCCACTCATCCTGTGAGTGGACACACCGCCATAGAGCCGGTCGGCCGAGCGGACAGCACACTGGACTTGTGATCCTGTGATCCTGGGTTCGATTCCGGGCGCCGGCGAGAAATAATGGGCAGAGCTTCTTTCACCCTATGCCCCTGTTACCTAGCAGTAAAATAGGTACCTGGGTGTTAGTCAGCTGTCACGGGCTGCGTCCTAGGGGTGGAGGCCTGGTCGAGGACCGGGCCGCGGGGACACTGAAAGCCCCGAAATCATTTCTAGATAACCTCAAGATGGTCTTGTTTGTGGAGAGAGTGAAACCGAGTTCAATACATTTCCTTCCAAGGAGTTCAATGGACTGTTCAATTTTTCCCAAGGTGGGAGCTTGTATTAGGACATCATCTGCATATCCCACTTGTTGTGTTCCTTTCGGAAAATCAATATTTGCAATGGCGTTCATAAGTACATTGAATAGTGTAGGGCTTAAGACTCCGCCTTGGGGGGTCCCGAGTTCCATATTCATTGTTCTGGAGACTGCTCCATTGAAGCAAACCTTGGCTTTCCTTCCTGTGAGGTAGTCTTCAACCCATTTCATGAGTCTCCCTTTGACACCCATGCATGCAAGCTCGTCCAGGATCGCAATCCCCTGCGTTTTGTCGAAGGCTCCTTTGATGTCAACAAATACAGAGTACCTAGCCGTGTCATTAGCCAAGTAATTAACTATACAATTTGCTGTGCTCTGTCCTTTAACAAATCCATTGACCCCCTCCCCTAACCTGCCTATTTTGTGCAACAGTCGGTTTAGGATGATCCTTTCAAGCATCTTGCAAGTGCATGACACGAGGCTGATAGGTCTGTAATTACCAGGGTCATTAGGCTTCGGTATGGGAACAATTATTGCGTGTTTCCATTGTGTGGGCAACACTCCACTTAGGAATGACTTGTTAAACAGGTGGAGTAGTGGATTCCCAGACACTTCACACAGTGCATTGAGTATGTCGTAGGTGACGCCATCTTCACCAGGTGCTGTACTTTTACCCTTTTTCATAGCGCCCCTTACTTCTGGGCTGTGATTGGTTCCCCATACTCGTCATCACTAGACAGTGCTCTTGTTATCCTAATTCTTCTGTCATCATGTCGCAGGAGCTGTTCCCTGCTGATTTCTGCAGGGAGGAGAAGGATGCTGCATCACTCCACTTGTGAATTAGTTCCTCAGCCTTACCCTGGGGGTAGGGTAACAATGTATATACTCATCTAGTTGTATTTGAGGGGGTTGAGCTCTGGCTCTTTGGTCCCTCCTCTCAGGTGTGAGTGAGGGAGTAAAGAGGGTGTTATAGTGGGTATGAGAAGGAGTGAGAAGTAGGAGGTGAGGAATGGAAGAATGTCTGAGAATGAGGGAGATAGTGTGAGGGTGTGAGCCCCGGGAGGGATGATGGAGGGAGAGAGGGAGGGAGAGAGGGATGGAGGGAGAGAGAGGGAGAGAGGGAGAGTTACAAGGGTGAGCGGTGAGGAACAAAGAGGAGTACAGGAAGTGTGTCTCACGGGTCAGGAGTTACTCTGGCTCAGATCCTTGCGATGCTCCCCCTCCCCTAACCCCACCCCACCTCTCCCCCCTCCCCCCTCACCATTCCCCTTACCCATCTCCCTGCCCTCCCTCACCTCCCCCTATTCCCCTCCCTTCCACACACCTCCCCACTTTCCATCTTCAGCATCTTGTACACACACCTATTCCTCAATAGTAGTTCTTTCTATATATTCTTTTCTATTCCCTATTCTTTAGTTCCTGTTCTCTGTAACCCCCCCCCCCTCCCTTGCCTCGTTACAGGTCCTTCCCACGCTCCCCCCTCTCCATCACCCCACCATTGTAACACCACTATAATGGTTACTAAACTAATAATGTAAACACTACTTATCCTGAGTAACACTTCCCCATCGGTTGCACTTGGTAACACTGTTATGGGCTGACATATGATGGTTACACCGGAACCAAAGGTACACTGCCAACAAGGAAATGCTACACAGGATTAAATACGCTGCCACCATCTGCCTTTGACCATTGAGACTATATCAAGCAACGAGGCAAGAAACATTGCTTGACTTGGAGAGTACTTTCTATGACTGTCATTAATTATGAAAACGGTTGTCAGCCACTATATCCAAAAGGCTAAGAGGATTCAACAATTGACACAGACGGGAAATTTAACGAGTTTATTGAGACCAAAATTATGTCAATCACCACTTATAAATCCTACTCTAACACTGGCAAAAAAAAATAACAAAATAACAATTCACTTAGGGTATATTACACTAACAGTAGAAGTCTAAGAAATAAAATTAACGAATTAAATGCTCTTGTCTGCACAGAAAAAATAGATATTATTGCACTTACCGAAACGTGGATGAATGTAGAAAATAGAGAACTATTAGCTGAATATCAAATATATGGATTTAAACTATTTCACACAGATAGATATATTAGACGAGGAGGTGGAGTAGCCATATATGTTAGGGACAATTTGAAATGTAGTCTCAAAGAGGGAATCAAAACAGAGCCACACACAGAAACTATTTGGATTGAATTAAACGAAAAAGCTAATAATATTATAATAGGAGTAATATATAGGCCACCAAATTTAGACAGAATGGAAGCAAAGCATCTATGGGATGAAATATCTAGAGCATCTAGATCTAACAGTATTTATGTCATGGGTGACTTTAATTTTAGCGGAATAAACTGGTTGAACAAAACAGGGAATAGTGAAGCAGAAGATTTTCTAGAATTAATTGACGATTGCTTTCTTACGCAACACATTAAGGAACCAACACGGGAAAATAATATTTTAGATTTAGTGTTAACTAACAGGGAAACGCAAATTAATGACATCGAAATAGGGAGTGAGCTAG